TTTTTTTTTTTTTTTTTTTTGAAGTATAAAGAATTCTATTCCATCATGTCATTTAACTTCAATAAAAAAAACTATCAGCTTTACTAATTGCATCAAAAAAAAAGAAGAAAGGGAATCAAAGTGCAGAAGACAGCAGTGATAGAAAAAGAGAAAAAATTTCTCGACAGATTGATAATACCAATTAAATGTATGTTTAATTAAGTTCCATCAGTACCCCATATTACAGCGATTAATTCTGTCCAATTTGCTGCTTCCCCTCTAAATTGGATAAAATACAATATGCTATTACCAAAATTCTAAAATAGTAAAAAAAAAAAAAAAAGTCATATCCCAATTTTCTGCCTATCTGTATTTTCGACTATTTAAATCACGTAACCACTTGATATTTTAGAACTTTTTTTAAGTCAACAAAAAGAGCAGCATTGTCTTGAATTATCGTAGAACACCTGTATAATCACCAGCAGACCTAATGACCATAAACGGTACAGCACCAGCACCAAAGCAAAAGAAAAAAAAAACGACTACTGAAGCTAATTTATTGTAGGGATTAACGATGCGCCAGAAAAGATGAAAAGAAAAAGTTGATCTGAACTCTGAAGTTGGGTAAGTAGTAGCCATAAAGCAGCAGCTGAAAATCGCCTTCATCTATAAAGTGATGACAAAAAAAATACAATAATTTGATTGAAGAAAAACGAAGCTAGAAGATGCTTAGCTGAAGCATTCTTAATTCTCTTATCTAAACTTCAGCAGAGGAAAGAAGTATCAAAAAGTATTCAGCATAAACCTGGCACAAGAAACTAGCGCCTGAGACCAAGATCGTTCAGCGGTATAAACTCGAAAGCACTTCTTCGAGTTTCGTTCCCAACCATCTGCACACTGCAGGTCAACATCGGTTAACTGATAACTTACTTCTGTTTGATTTTTTCCTAAAGCTTCCTGGAAAAAAAGATGAGTAAGTCTCTGTGATCTGTTTACAATTTGGGATACATTTTTAAACATTAAGTTTATGATTAGCTTAAATAGCAAAAAAAGTCGTCATAAAAAAAGGCAAGCTAAATAAAACAGGAAAGATCTCAATCGTTTTTCTTTTTCATGCCTCTGATTAAGTTAGTAGGAAAAGTGTTTAAAAAATTTAGAGCCAAAAAAGTGATGAAGAGCACTTACATAAATAGTTGAAGAAAAAGAAAAAAATTAAAAGAAAAAATAAAACAAACAAAATAAATATTGGTGACTAATTTGCATAAGAAGAAAAACAACTAAATTTTGAAGACGATTTTACGGAGAAATTGAAGAAAAGAAAATATGCATAAAATTTTCAGCGGAAGTGAGGAGGAAAAACGGGAAAGTTACAGCAATTTTGAAGTGCGCTCAATTATAACGGTCAATTAAAAAGACAAAGTCAAAAGTTTTTTTTTTCCTGTTTCTTTTTTTCATTTCTTTTTTGAAAAGTAACAAATAAATGAAATAAAAAATTCCTTACCTGAGAATAGCTGATGCTAAATAAGCAGCTAAATATTATCAGCGACAATTGGAGCATCAAAAATGCTCGTCGCATGATTCTTGACAAAAAGTTGTCAATAGCGGAAAATTTTTGCGTTTTGCAGCTGCTTTTAATCACCGATAACTGTTTTTTTGATATAAATGAAGTAACAGTAGTTTACTGCTATTGTCGAATTGCTGCTAATATTTGAACGACGTCAGTGCAATGTTACTGTTCAATACTGTATAACAATAGTAATAATAATACTGATGGTAGTTTTGTTGGTAATGATAGTTGATGGTTGATGGTGATAGTAATAGTGGCAGCAGTGATGCTAATGTCTTTAGTGGTGTTGATGATGATGGCGACGACAACGGTGAAGAAGAAGGAGAGGGAGAAGGAGAAGAACGAGAACAAGAACAAGAAGGTGAAGGTGAAGGAGAAGATGCAGGCGAAGAAGATGAAGATGAAGAAGAGCGACGTCCACAATAAGAACGGCAGCGACGACGACGGCGGCGGCGACGACGACGACGACGGCCCCGGAGGTATCTGTAAATAACGTTAAAACTAAAAAGGAAATCAGAAAATGAAACATAGACTTTGCGACCTTATTAATTGTGACCTTTCAACTGGCTTTATTATCAAACAACCTTCAAAATCGTACCGTTAAAAAGAGAAAAAAGTAACAAAAAAAAAAAAAAAGAATTTTTTTTCCTTCTTTTATTCTCATTTGACGATACCAAACAAAACGAAGAATTTATGTAACAGATGACG